AAAGATTTCATATATTTTTTTAAAAAAAGGGGTGTATTTATATAAATATGGAGGTGTGTTTATCACCAACCTATTGAGGTTTGCCAACTGTTTGAGTTGAATCCAAATTATTTTTCATATGTTTCAGGATTAATTCATTTTTAATTTAACATGTTTTATAATCAAAATATTCTCTCTGTCAAAGAAAAAAAAATCAAGATATTCTTAAAATTTTAAAATACTAAAACTACACATTGTTGACAACTTAGTTTAAATACATTAATAATATGAAGAACAAAAATTACATTGTTATCCATAAACTTTATGTATTATAAGATCAATACTTTTTATAATAATTATTTAAAAAATTATATATATATTTTTAATTAATTGATAATATAAGAAGTATTTATACTAACAATGCATTAAAAATTAAAGTTTATTATTAATTTCTCCCTCAAGTTTTACAAACTGTTTTCTTTTTTATATTAAAAAAAGACAGACTACTCCTAAAAAAGCAAATGTAAAACTTATCAATCACTGTTAGCAAAGAAGATTATAAGAGAGAACCAGAGGTGGCTGAAACATTGTCGTTTTTTTTCGAAAATAAGATGGCTGAAGAAGACCCGGGAATAAGATTAGTTTCAAGATCAAAAGAGACTATTAATACATGTTAGTTGTGAATTAAGTTTACTAAATTTTCTCTTATAAAAACTTTTCCAATTACTTCTTTATCAATTTATTTCCTTAGAAAAATTTGTATGTAAAGAATGAATGATGATGCAAACTACACAATTATAATTAATAACAAGAAATTAAAAGTGTAGGGAAAGAAGAATTACAAACTTGATTTTATACTGGTTCGGTCAATCCTGCCTACATCCAGTCCTCAAGTCTCTCACTTGAGATTTCCACTACTCTTGTAAACCTTACAATAAAATGAATCATCCAACACCTCGGAACTTCCTTTCCTTGTGTTGAGATTCAAACACCAACAAGGAGAAAAATCCTTTCTCCTTTACAGATCCAATGATCTATTAAGTATTACAGAATGACTCTCTTGAAGAGTGGATATTACACTTTTATGATCTTTGATGAACTCTTTAGAAATTTTGCAAATGATTTTTGGCCAAGTGATTTGTAAAGATTATTTTCACAATAGAGTTCGTCACCTTTCTCTGAAAAATTATAGGTATTTATAGACAATTGTTTCTTGAGTTATGTCTTTTCATGAAGAGTTGTAACTCTTTATAATTTTTCAGAAAATAGGCTCTGGTAATCGATTACAAGACTTGGTAATCGATTACCAGAAACATGTCACTTGTTTTGGCTTATGAAAACTTAAGATATAAAAAGCTTATATTTTACAGTTAAAAATATTTTTGTTTAATCTTTTGAATACTATTTTTGCTTTCTTTTCAAACAACTTATTCTTATATTCAAAAGTATTAAGTTTAGGTTTTCTTGAAATTCTTATTTTAATGGCCAAGTGAAATTTGCAAATTCTAAAAGTTCATTTTACATACTAAGCTAAGCAATCAAGACTTATATAGTTATCACTTGAGATTTTACTTCTTGATCAGCTTGCTTTAACTTGACCTTTATTTTCTTCAATGTTTTGGCATCATCAAAACTTTGTGCATATTTTCTTCCACGATACCAATTAAAAGTAATTTTTAATATAATTATTTAACAAATTAATCTGCTCCGTCCATTTAATTTATAATAAGTTTAATGGTATTAATAAATTGTTGCACTCATGAACCATATGTTTCCAACAATTTAAAGCGAATAAGAACAAAAATAAACATGTCTAAACTCATCTTACTTTAACCCACAACATAGTCAGTAAATACTAAATAAGGTGATAGGCCGTTAACAGGAAATCTGAAACTATTTTGACACCTACTAAAGGTTACTAATCACGCCAAAGCAACAAAGAAAAACCATAATTTAGGAGGTGGTTTGTTCCAACAAACAATACGGGTGATTAGGACTCAAAAAACATTTTGTTTCATAATTTAATCACCGTAATATTAGATAGATACTTAAATACTTGGTTGCAAATCACAAGTTGGTAATGAAATAAACGCATTAACTGAACACAAGAGTTGCAAATCAGAGTGTTACTCCCACTTCTTGTTGTAGTATTGGAGAACAAACTGTTGCTTTCCTTTCTTAAACAGATTCTCTGCGTCTCTTGCTAGTCAGTGTCGTATTCATATTAGTCCTTCTGTTGCTGCTCTCTGTATGGACTTATTAATCGAATGACAGAAATCTTACGTTATATGACTCTCTTTTTTTAGCAGATTTTTATTATTAAATAATTTTATCTTAAAAAAAACTACCACTCTTTATTTTATTTTTTAAGAACAACTTTTGTTTATTTTTATGTGTTGTTTAAAATTTTTATATATACAACCCACAAAATCACAATGGGTCAACGGATTATAAAGTAAACAGTATTTTGAATATAGTGATTTTAACGATGTCAATAAATTTATAGTCTAAACTTTTAATACTTCTAAAAGTCTCTTATCATTTAAGGGTTAAAGTTAATGATTACTTATAAATCATCTTTCCCTTCATTCATCAAAGCATTTTTTAAAGGACCAGATGATCTAACAAACATCAAAATAAATAATGTTAGAGAAAAATATATACACTAGAATGAGGTTAAGGATTTATGATTAAAATTTTTGTGTCTAAAAATTTCACATCACTTAATAGTTAAAAACAATAATCATTTATAAACACCTTCTTTCTTAATTTCTTGAGACAACGAGATATATAAAATTATATTAGGTCAACAAACATCAAAATATATAATAAATCAAATATTATAACTCTAACAATGTCAAGAAATTTGAGATCGAAAAGTATATATTTTTTTAAAATTAATAAACTATAGAGATATTAATGGTTACTTTTAATCATTCTTAAATTACTCTTTTTTTTTTTTCACTAAAAAGATATAATTCATTATCATCAATTATCTTTTAAATTAACATAATTTTATATTATAAATCAGAATATACAAATTTTTATTTAACATTTTTAATATTTCTCCTATTTTACATTTTAGATAAGTATTTTCCATACCACTTCAGCTTCTAGTAAAAACACTTTTTTCTATACCACGTAGACTGTTTTTTTAATATTTATTTATATACTTTTTTTTATAAGCACTTATCTTTTAAATTTATCTTTTCACTTTTATCTTACTTCTAAATTGAATATCAATAATTTTTAATAGAAATTATCAATAATTAAAAATAATCGTATTTAACAATTTAAATTATTTATTACAAATTTAAATTATAATTTTTTATAAATATTTATTTATTATAAAATTGAAATTTAATATTATTTATATATTTAAACAGTACTATTACAAACTTTAAGTATATTAAAAAAAACATATATCCTATTTAACGCTAATACTAATTAGACGTACACATTGCTATAAAAGAAATTCATTATTAATTAATGAAAAATATTTACATGTAAGATTTTTTTTTAACGGTTGATACTTATTAGTTATTATGGATAATAACGGATATTTTTTATTATTGGCTAGAATTTATATTTTTTAATGACAATAATAAAAATTCAAAAACATTGTATATACATTATTTCAACCTTTATTATTATGTTATCTATAATAATTATGAGTATTCATTAGTTAGTGTATAATTATTAATTTTTATTATGTATCCAATAGTCTCATATAAATGATAGATAATGACTCTTTGACTGTGTCATCCTTAAAAGATTATTGAAGTAGTATGTTGTAACTCACGTGATAGATCATTTTGGATTTGACTAAACATGATTGAGATCCCAATTACTAAGTATTTGTGTACCCATTTGTCTTAAAAGTTATTTAATATCAAAGGTGATCAAGTTGGGAAGTCCATTTTGAGTCTAATCCTAAGTCAATACTATAATAACACTAGCCATTTTATTAAGGGATCTCTCCAAACCTCTTCATAGTTTTCCGCTCAAGTCTAGGAAAGTTGTGTACCCTCCTAAATATGATTCTAAGGTGATACTATAAGGATGTTAGTCAATTTATCAATCAACCTCTTTGAACCTCTTCGCGCTTTTGCACTTGAGGCTTAAGGGATGTATACATTCTTAAGTTTGACCTCGAGTAAATATTATAGTAATGTTAGTCAATCTACCAATTGACCTCTTTGCACTTTCATACTTGAGACGTAAGGATTGTGTACCTTATTAGGTTCGATCCCGAGACATCATTATAAGTGATAAATTGCTTCATCAACTAACTTATTAAGGTTTTTCGTGATAGATACTTAAGGTTGAAGAGTTGTATATCATCTAAAATCTAATTCATAATCTTTGTATAGTCAACACATATCTAACATGTTTATAGAAAGAGACAATTTTTTTTGACTTTTTTCATCTTGAAATCATATTTGGAATGATAGGTTACCAACTTTTATGCAAGGTTGACTCAAATCCAACTTGACAAAGGGTGAGGAATTGAGTTTAAATGTTCATTGTATTATCCCCTTAAATTTCTTTAACGGATAAATTGATCAAGTCAATAAATACAAGATTATGACCTAAAATTTCTAAAGTAGTAATTGACATGTATATATATATATATAAGGATTTTTTTTAAGGTTTAGAGTGTCACAATACACTTTCGAAAGTTTTAAACTTAGACACTCGTTAAATTTTCTATAAAAAAATATTTCATATCATAATAATATATAATATTGTTTTTAGGGTTTCAAACCCTAGATTATACTTTTGAATATTATAAATTTTGACAATCACTAGTATTTTTTTATAGGAGATCATCCATATAAGAATAATTATCATAAAATAAATCATTAATTTTATTATATATATGTATACACAAATAAAATCATAAATCTAAAATAACTAAATACCTATTGTAAACAATTTTAAAATTCAATTATAGCATTGACTAGCTTTGAAGGGCATGGTTTAGGGAACTAAACATATCATGTTAAGCGTCTCTTCGATACAAACGAAGTGGTGTCGTGTCTTGAGTCCTTCCCACTTTATATTTGTCTCATAACCCAACCTTTGCCGAACTTAACGGCGATTTCTCCAATCCTTCAATTCCACCTTCATCTTCTCAACATCCTCTCCATCTTTATATTTTCACACCTTCTTCACACCCCATTTCCTTCTCTTTCTCTCTCTCTCTCTTAACAATGTCTCAGGTAGTGGCCACTCGATCCATTCACACCTCCCTCACGCGCCCCACTTCAGGATCTGCACACCACAGGGCTCAAACGTTGTTGAAGCCTCCAACTTTTGCTTCCAAAGTGCTCCCACTTCAAAGGAACAGCCCCTCCAAGGTTTGTTCCCGAAGTTGCCTCGTCAATGCAAGGAAATCTGCACCCACTGAAGTCGTTCCCGTGTCCCCCGAGGATGATTCAAAGGTTCGTGCCTTCTCTCTCTCACTGCAATTTTTAGGAAAAATATGATGGGGGTGAGAAAATTTGATATTTTGGGAAGGACCCAAAATGAAAAATGATTCATGGGCATCTTGTGCTAGTGTTAGCGAGATAAAGAGATAGAAGAGGGAGAAGCGTAGATGTGATAAATGATATGATGCAACAAAAAGAGAGATAGAAAGAGACGAAGAGGGTCAACCAGATGTACGAAGAGTGTTCATGTTTTATTACTCAACCCAAAATAGAAGTAGAGTAATGATAAACATATACTTTTGGGGTGGATTGAGGTAGAAAGAAGTAAATGTCTGAAGAGAGAAAGTGATAGATGTAAAAAGTGATGTGATAGAAAAGGAAGTGAGAGATATGAAGAAAATTGGGTGAACATGAGATGAAAGTGTGTGTCTTGGGACTTGGGAGTATTTTCCATGAAGTAAGTGGAGGTGGTTGAGGAAATCTTGTGATTGTAACCCTTTTCATGTTGTGGTGAATAGATTGAGGAGGAGTTGCAGCACTTGCGTGGTATACAGCAACTTAGTGACACTTCTGTTGGAATGTGGTCCAAACCCACGTTTAGGAGGAAGACGAAGATTGTTTGCACCATTGGTCCTTCTACCAACACCAAGGAAATGATTTGGAAGCTGGCTGAGGCTGGGATGAATGTTGCCCGTTTGAATATGTCTCACGGAGACCATGCTTCTCATCAGAAAGTTATTGATTTGGTTAAAGAGTATAATGCTCAATCCAAGGACAATGTAATTGCAATTATGCTTGATACCAAGGTAATAATTAAGTTCTTCAAGTTATTGTTTTTTTAAGGATACTTTGGTCATGTCATATTTCTGTGATCACAGTTTAATTTTGCTGATATGTATTTTTTTCTCGGTTTTCAGGGTCCTGAGGTTAGGAGTGGAGATTTGCCACAACCAATCAATTTAACAACTGGGCAGGAATTCACTTTTACCATCCGGAGAGGTGTTGGAACTGCAGATTGTGTTAGCGTGAACTATGATGATTTTGTCAATGATGTGGAAGTGGGGGACATGCTTCTTGTCGATGGTATGGAAATTGACTTATTGGTGAAAATGTTTGAATTATAAACAATTTGTTTTGTGCTCATGGAATGATAAACCACCAAACATGGGACTAAGTTATTCTTTTGTGGTTTTCTTTAACATTTAGTCTCTGGAAAAAATTGTGATCTAAGGAATGAGTCTTCCAAGGCAGTGTAGCGTGGTGGTTTTCTGGTGCAAATATGTTATAACCTGTCTATACATCTTGATCCGTTTGTATTTTCCTGAATCATTACTGGTTGTTTGACTTTATCAACATGGTTTTGGGTTGAGGATAAAAGCATTACATCTTACCCCCATCTTTTATCCTTATACAAAGTCACAAACTTGTGTTAGATTCATAAATCATTAATTATGACTTATAAAAATTTCAGTCAACATAACATGAATCAACTAACCAAACTATTGGAATATGTATTTGTTTTTCTAATGAAGCATATGATATACTAGAGACAATGTTTTACATAATGCATTTATTGTATGTGTAGCATTATTATTGTTGGACTATATCTTTAGTTGCCTATTTATCTCAGAAAGAGTTAATACCGAGTCTTTGATGTGTACTATTGCGTATGATGTAGGTGGTATGATGTCTTTGATGGTCAAGTCTAAGACAGAAGATTCTGTGAAATGTGAAGTTGTTGATGGAGGAGAGCTCAAGTCAAGGAGACATTTGAATGTTAGAGGAAAAAGTGCAACACTGCCTTCCATCACTGGTTAGGTTTTGGATTATTATTTATTCTTATTTTTGATAATTTTTTTCTGCCTCTTTGTACACACCTCTTCATATGTGTGGGTACTGGCCACTAGGTGAGGATTAAGGTTATGTTGATTTCCCAAAGACATAATATTTGTATTGATTTGCTACAGAGAAGGATTGGGATGACATCAAATTTGGAGTGGATAACAAAGTTGACTTCTATGCTGTTTCTTTTGTTAAGGATGCCCAAGTAGTTCATGAACTGAAGAATTATTTAAAAAGTAAATATTCAAGATACTTGTAACTTTTTTAATAAGTCCATCCTATTAGTTTTTTTAATTATTTTGAAATATGATAAATTCTCCACTCAACACTGCAGGCTGTGATGCTGATATACATGTCATTGTAAAAATTGAAAGTGCAGACTCTATACCAAACTTGCATTCAATTATTACAGCATCTGATGGGGTGCTAATCTAATCCTTAAACTATTAACATTATGGTCATTGCCAGATTCTGTGAAATAGGGTTGATTTAGCCCATATTGTAAAAACATGAATCTTTATATATGGAGTGTGTTTTGTTTAGAGGTTGTGGATTACGTTTGTGGAGCACTTGTTTACTGAATGTTGATGTTGAACTGTCTACTTTTGCCATCCTGTTTAGGCCATGGTTGCAAGAGGAGATCTTGGTGCAGAGCTTCCTATTGAAGAGGTTCCACTTTTGCAGGTAAAGTCCTTTTAAACTGAAATAATATTAATGGTAAAGATAAATTATCAGTTGGTTTGCTTCCATAACTGGAAATCAATTTGAGTTCTTCTAAATATCCATTATGCCTGCTAATATAGGAGGAGATAATCAGCATATGCCGTAGCATGGGAAAGGCTGTTATTGTGGCAACAAATATGCTTGAAAGCATGATTGTTCACCCAACACCAACCAGAGCCGAGGTATCTGATATTGCAATTGCTGTTCGAGAAGGTTCTGATGCCGTGATGCTTTCTGGGGAAACTGCTCACGGAAAGTAAGTAATAATTCAATGGCTTGATGTGCCCAAATACCTTTATGGGCGATATTCCCCAATTTGAGTTCTTACAAATGAAAGGAAATATCAGTCAAGTTAGTGTTACCTTAAAAATTTAGGTTTTAATTATTTGCGCAATTGAGAGTAGGTATTGTGATTTTACTTGCTAGAGTATCAATATCCGGTTTCATTAATAGCATTGAATCTCGGTGACTTGGATTCTTGGAAGACTAATCTAAAGCAAGAGCATTCATGGGATGTGACAATAATAATTACATTTATTATAATGCAGGTTCCCACTAAAAGCCGTGAAAGTAATGCACACTGTAGCATTACGGACTGAAGCCACTATACCTGATGGTCAAATGCCACCTAATATAGGTCAAGTATTCAAGGTTTGAAATCTAAACTCAATGACTCTGACTTTTTTTTAATCACTGTGTTCTAATTTTACTCTTGGAACTAAAATGTGTATTTATTTTGGTACTGTGTAGAATCACATGAGTGAGATGTTTGCTTACCATGCAACCATGATGTCTAATACCCTTGGAACCTCAACTGTTGTCTTCACTAGATCAGGCTTCATGGCTGTCCTTTTGAGCCACTATCGACCTTCAGGCACCATATTTGCCTTTACAGATCAGTAAGTTCCTTTTTCCCTCTCTCTTGATACAATAAGAAACTAATTTAATCAGTAGCCAAATGCATCTGTGCCTAAATACCTTTAAGAGATTCTTTCTAAATGTATTTGGTAACGGGGTTCCATCCTTTGTTATTGTATTTTCCCTTAATATTTAGTTTTATCATTTTCTAAATTGGATGTCTGTGCTTAGTAACAAATGAAACTGATTATGTGGTGACTTATAAAAAATGATTTCCACAATCTAAGAGTTGGAAGATATATCTAATGAATCAACTATTTTAAAGGTTCATGATGTTCTGCTTTTTCAGAAGCTGTTTGAACTTTGAAGTAGTTCTTAACCAATCAATCTGATTTCTTATGTTGAAGTACATATTCAATTGAAAACCGTCACCTAATTATTGTTGGCCACGCAGAAAGAGGATACAACAGAGGTTGGCTTTGTATCAAGGAGTCTGTCCTATTTACATGGAATTCTCTGAAGATGCTGAAGAGACTTTCACAAGAGCCTTGGATTTGCTGCAGGTAATGTTTGGAGGATATCTTCAGTGATTGAAAATTTGAAATGTTACCTAATACCTGTAGAAGCATATAACCAGGTTCAGAGTTCTTATAACAAGAGTAAAGTTCTTGTAATAGCTTTCCTCTCATGTTCATACTATTGAGGCCGGTTCTACATTCAAACATTCAACCATGTCAATCATGCAATACTTTAACCTCGTTACCTGGACCTTTATGCTTTATACTAAGTTTTTTGTTACTGGTAAATAAACAAATGCTTCGGCCTTCACTTGCCAGAGCCAGTTACTAGCAACAGTTGGGCGTCCAATTGTTTTTATTTCTTTTCAAATGGATTGTTAACTTGTTGCAACAAAATGAAATTCTTTCACTTGTTAAGTACACTTGGAATGAGATACAATGCCACTTATATAATAAGGTTCTTTTGGGGCTAAAAAAGCATTCACATGACATGTACAATTCCCTTTTTATTTAGTTTGTTTTTATGATCATATTCATTGGTGTTGTTTCCATATGCAGAAGCAAGGAATGGTGAAATCAGGAGAAGAAGTAGCACTAGTACAAAGTGGGAGGCAACCCATATGGAGGTTCCAATCCACTCACAATATCCAGGTCCGAACGGTGTAAACAAAAAAGGTGAAGAGAGGCTTTCAGGACACACCACATTTTAATTTTAGAAGAGCATGCTCCCTTTAGTGGGTTGATGCCAATTGCATTTTGGTTGTTTGTTTGTTGCCTAGGTTTTTCTTTTATTGCCTTCTTCTTGCCATTTTTTCGGTGATTTTCTATATTTAGCACGGACATTAGACATATGTTAGTACTTGTCATTGAATTTTTTATAAGAAATTGGAATGATAAATGCTTTCAGTCACATCCTGGGACCTGGACCGTGTCACTCACTCAATCGTTCAGTTGTTATATTTAATATCCAAATTATTTGACCATCATCTATTATTAATAATATAAGGGGAGAAGTTTTTCCACAACTTTTTATTCTTCAAAATTCTCAATTCTCTTCCCTCTAAAGTTTCTTTCAATAAAATCAAATATAAATGTAATTATATAAATGTTTATTATAAAAATAAAATAATCTAATAAAAAAATTAATTAGTTTACCCCAAAAATATAAAATCAATACTAATAATTACTATATTTTTCTAATATTATATCATAACAAATATATCAAAATTAAAGAAAAAAATTTAGATTAAAATATTATAATAATTAGTAATCATGATTAAATTTTTGCAATAGTATAAAATAAAGTGCTATTGAAAAAAATGAAAAGACAAATATATAAAAAGTAATATATCAAAATTAAAGAAAATTTTGATAAAAATATTTCAATAATTAAGACAAACAAATATATTCTGTCAATGAATGAAAATAATTTAAGGAAATATTTTTTTTCTTTCAAAATCCCTCCAAATATATCAAAACAAAAAGAAGAGAATAAATATTCTTTATATATTATATTTTTATCAAAACAGATTTTTAATAAAAAAAATAAATATATCAAAATTCTTATTGAATGCAAAACTTATATTATTTATTAATAATTACTAAATGTTTTTTAATGAAATAATATTTTTTCAAAACTTCCTTCAAATATACTAAAATAAAAGGAAGAAAATGAATATTATTTATATATTTTATTTTTATCAAAATAGATTTTTAATAATTAAAACAAATAAATATATCAAAATTCTTTTTAAATGTAAAAGTTATTTTATTAATTAATAGTTAATAATTACTAATAATTATTATTAATGATAATTACTAATTATTTATCGTTCTAAAAATATGTTACTCACACATTAATTTTCTTTTACAATGAATTGGAGAAGAAAAAGTAATATGCAATAAAATAGGCGATATGATGAAGTGAGAGAGGGTGGTGAAATAATTGTGTAGAACTCGCAAAAATTTGGTGTTTGACTATTATTATTTTTTATTTAAATGTCTTAATATAAAGTAAGTGCTTTAGACATTTTGGTTAATTTGGATTTTGAACGAGGCTTATGACACATCACGTGCTGCTCAGACATTTTAATTAAATAATCATGTAACCCGTTTTTTATATAAAGGTTTGTAAGCATGCTTTAACATTTTTTATTCAAATTGTTGGCCTATAGCAGTTTTAAGACCTATCTTGGTTTTTATAACCTATTTTAGTCCAGAGCTAATTCGGTGGAATCTAGGTTTTTAAAATTAAATCGTGTATTTTAAGTTGGTTTTACCAATTGAATGCCATGCAATTCCTTAAAATATTTTTTTTTGAAAATTATTAATAAATTGTTAAAATTATACCAACTAATTTTTACATAATAACATAATAATGTTATTGTTCCGGCTAAAGGGTAGACTAGAGTTTCTTTCTAGATTAAGTCTTAGAGTCAGAACATTCAAAAGTGTAATCTGCTCCCTTAGCCTTATGGTTTTAGGTTTTATATTTTCTTGTTCATGGGCCTCGTGGGCCCCGAGAATGTGGGAATTTCCTTAACCGTTTCTATTGGGAATATTTGATTATTAAAGATAGGATTTTCATCCTTAGTTCACGGATCAAACGCGAGAGGTAATACCCGCTCGGGTATTGGCTGAGCTCACCCAGGCCGATCCTATAATGGCCGAACTCACTCTGGCCGATCTCACCCACGTGACCAGATAAGATCGGGCTTTTGCCGAGATCACCCCCATGGAGGGGGATCAGGTCGGATTCCAATCGGGTTCACCCTTGCAGTAAAATCATATCAGTCCTTTTCCGAGATCTACCACATGGTGAGGTGAGGAGGGTCTCGATTATTTTCCTGAGTCGTATCGAAAATAAATCGATACGGTACACTTGTTTTCTAGCCCTAACCCTATAAGGCAAAAGAGCTTTAATGGATTACTCTCCGGGACCATATCGGAAATAAACCGAGATACAGTTATATCAAAGTTATATCAATATAATTCTTTTGAAACATATATATCATGAACTATTTTTTAGGTGTAAAAGTTTACAATCTATAACTATCAAAGTATAGTCTCCTAAAGTTGATAGTCTACACTACACTTCACTTTATGAATAAACAAAGAGTCATAGACCATAGCTTTCGGCATTTATGACTATCACGTGGCACTATCATTTATGCGAGTACATACCATTACTCTTGGCGGTAAAAAAAGAAAAATGTATAGAAAGAAATAATAATGTGATAAGCAATATAATGAGAAAAAAAAATGAGATGAAGGATAAGAAAAGAAAATGAAGAAAAACAAAACAAATGTATGTTTACAGTTTTTCTAAATATTTACTCTTCTAATGGTGCAGCTTCTATTGAAGATAAGACAGCCCACGTTTCTCATAATCACAAGCTCCCTTTAACTCGTTCTACTCTAAAACCTATACATTTCCTCCAATTGGGTCATCCTACATATCCACGCGCAACACGAGTGGGTGGGCCAAAAAGGAGAAGTACTAGGCCCAGTTATAATTTTTTTTTAAAAAAATTATAAAAATAAACCTCTCCACACTTTATTTACAAAAGTTGATTCCTTTATGTAACACAGGTCAAAATTCGGTTTTCGTCGAGTCAAATTCTGACCTGACTATAGTAGTCTTCCCCACACTTTTTTTTTCGTTTATAATTTTGAAATCACCGAAAATCATTATAGTTAAGTCAGAATTCGACTCTTCGAATATCAAATTTTAACCTGTTACAATAAAGGAATCTACTTTTGTAAATAAAGTGCAGGGAGGTTTATTTGTATAATTTTTTAAAAAAAATTCTAAAACAGTAAAAAATTCCCAATTATACTTGTAAATATAATTTGGCCTAAATTACTCTTGTGCTCCTTTAATTTCTTTCAAACGATGCAATCTTATTCTTTTTGTTTAATTGAAACTAACAACTTAACTTTTTGTTTCTATTATACCATGTGTACTGAACTTGGGAGATGTAGTGACAACAATAGACTTCTCCATATTTTCTCTCATGTTAGAGGGATGGTTTTTTAGTACAGGGTTTACACACAAAAAAAAAAAAAACTACACTTCCTTTCATTTCTTTCTTATTAAGCACATCTAATTTTTCAACTTGTTTACCATTTTTCACATTTTTTTTCTCTTCTCTTCCACTTTTCCTTTACTAATAACACACCCTTAGTAAATGTTAAAGGTGCAAAATAATACTTTTTTTTTACAAAATTATTAATTCTAACAAAAATTACTCTTTCCTGTTTGCAAATGGTGAATGACTCATCAAAATGTCGAATACAAAAATCTTTCTCAACTGGAAAAACACTGATTCTATCTTAAACTTCTTGTTACTTAAAAGGGAGTGTTGTAAGTTATAAACTGATTCTATTAGTATTTAACTATTAACTATATGACTGGCAAACCTTTGTGCTATATGCAACCAATGAGTAGAAAGAGTTGATGACTAAAATTTGATGTTTGGAAGGAATCCTTCGTCCAAAATGCACACAGCTAATCAATAGAGACTTGTCATAATATTCTTCTGTTTCTTATTTATTTGTTTATGATTATATACGTGTTGTTTCCATATATGCTGAAGCCAGAAAGCACTTAATTTAAAAACCGACAAGCAACCCTTATATATGTTTATGCAATGGACGTACCAATACGGAGGTTCAGGACATGCTATATGCAATTTTGGAAGAGCGTATTCCTCTTTCATGGCTTGATATATAATGGTAGCTGTCATGTCATTGAAATTTTGGTCAGAATTTGGAATTGGAAACGCTTTCAGCCATGCAGGACTCAGTCTTTCATTTAGCTGCATTAACATCCGAATTATTAGGCTTTCTTAACTGCCTTTAAAGAAATGTAAACTTGCTTTATATTTGTCTCATGCATTTCAACATGGTTGGGCTAGTCTCGAGTTCAAATTTGATTATTTTATTAAGAGGTATGCTTTCTAGAATTCACTGAACCTTTTGGTTTACTTATGCTTCTGTTCTCTCCCCGTTGCCATTACATCTCTTCCTTAAATTAGATATCATAATTAGCTAAACCTTTCCCATGGATAAGCTCTGCCTTTACCTGTGCAACTTGTTTTAAAATATATACCATTACTTAAGTTGAAAGTAAATGAAACCAGCGAATGTAAAGTTATAAAAAAAAAAAGTGCTATATATTCATTTCATGTGGCCACAATTGCAGATAACAAACACGTTTGGAAAAGTACAACATTATTCTTTTTTCTCAATCATTAATCTTAAAACCAGAACTTGATGATAATAAAATCATTGGTTAATCAATTGCCACTACTACTACTCTTCACACGCTGCCAACAATTGAACTACTATACCCGTTCTGGACATCATAGAATCTTGACCACAGCATCACCCCACCATACTTTGGCGACTTCTTAATAACCGGCAAGATCTGAGAGGTCAAAACATCGGCGGGAACAAAACCGCTTCCAGCGGCGGCCGGAGCCGCCGGCAACCCCAAAAAGAATTTCCCTGCTGGCACAGTACTAGTCCACCGGTTCCATGAACTCACAAGATTACTTATGTTACCATTAGCATACTGACACGGAGGGTTATTGTAAAACTGAACCCAAACAAAGTCAAATAGGGCAGTGTCAAGGGCAGTGCCCAAGAACCTATCAGGAATAGGACACTGAGGTGCAGCACTTAGGTACACCCTCTTACTATACGCCTTGAGAAAACGTGCAAGGTGGTCATAGTTTTGCGTGGAGCCAAGTTCAATGTCAAAGTCTATGCCATCTAACACAGCATCACCTAGTGGCCTTGACGATGACTTGCCACCCAAGAAAGTGTTCCACAAGAAAGATGAAACGTTTCTTGCATCCTCAACGGAAGACAAAGAATAGCTTCCAACTCCACCACCTATGGAGAGAAGTACCTTGATGCCTTTGCTTTGGCAGTCTTTGATTTCGGGGCTGAATTTTGTGCAGGAATTGGTTGCAGGGTTGCAGTGGCCAGCGAGGTTCATTTGTGGGGTTTGGCTGTTGCCGAATGTGTTGAGAAAGGCTATGTTAACGTGAGTGTATTTTCCTGTGGCGCATGCTTCGGCGAGGGTGCCCTCGTTGCCGTTTTGGCCCCAGTAGATGGCTATGCCACCGCCGTGAGAGGTTGAAACGAGAGTGGAGAAGAAGAGGAGGGGAAGGAGAAGATGTGATGCATGATGAGAGGTTTTGGTCTTGCCCATTTTTGTCTTTCAGCTTTTGGTGTGTTCTGTGTTGTGAAGGGTTCCTTGTGCTTTTGATATTTATAGACCCAGTGATGGCTCTTTGCAGCTTTTAAGTTTGGAGATTGGAATGAGCTTCCCATACGGGGAAAAGGTCAAAGAGCTTTAGTTTTCCCTTTTCAACAACTCCATTTTTGTCAATTAATAATTAAGGAAAATGTTGAGTATACGATAATATATATAACAACAACTGATAAAATTAATTTGTGGGGTCTGTAGTATATCGTTATCACTATGTTTATGATTATCTAGATGAACAAAAACAATGAGAAGAAGGGTAATTATTGAAACTCAAAAGAAGTATGATGTTATTATTGTGTTATTTTCTTCATGGTTTGCTTAAAACTGAAATCAGTTGACTCGATTGCATTTGCATGACGTATGAGCTGGTTACCTTATAATAATTAATTGCAGCAGAAATCAAAAGAAGTATTGATGCAACCTGCCACACTGTCTCCTTTCTGACCGATTCTTGTGTCTAAGATATCCCTAAACTTTTCTAAAATGTAAACTTATCTATGAAATCTGCAGATTCGAAATTGAAAGTAATATCTTTGTTGATGTCAACTAATTGACATTTTCAAAACTCCCCCTTTTCAATTTATTCTTGCTGTAAACTGATTCCCTTAAAGTTGACTACACATGATGAGCTTCAGCGTTATTGAAAAGAATGTCACTGGCACTGCATAATTATACATATACTCTCGCATATAGATAAATTTCTTTATGTAGTCACTAGTCAGAATTAATTATACCATACATGCACGCTAATTCTATCATGTCATACTTATGACGATGAATTTACACCAAGCAAAAAGTTTATCTTGTTATTTATACACTAAGTTGACCAAGCCACGCTTTTGACACTGAATGTGCGCTTCACATCATGTTCCCCCATGTTCAAACCACTTGCAGCCATTGTGGACTGAATTTGGATTATTATTTTGACATTTTGAGACTACTACCATATTCAAATATTAATTTTTCCCTACGCCCTAACATTATTCCTTTTGACATAAATAAATCCACCGAATCAAATTAATTCAGATTTATCGGATTTCTTCAATTATATTTTTCGACTATCACTATCTAATTCATGCCACTAGTGCAAATAATTCTTAAACTACTTTGATATTATTAATTAGTGAGAAGGGTAGGTAACAATTTTTTTTAAGATATTCATTTTAATATATTTTTATTATTAATTAAAAATTATAAAATTATAAGTGAAATTTATTACTTATAAAAATTTATAATTTTTTAATAAATATCAATTAATAATAAAGATCGTTTTAAAATCTATTCCATAAGTCATCTCTTTATAAAAATTTAAAGGCCATTTTCAAGGACATATTAGACTATGCAAAAGAAAATACTCACATCAATTAGTGGTATAAGCAAATCAATATATATATAT